TCGGTACTTGCAAAGCCCGTGTGTGCTTCCTTTCCGTAGTGACGATGGATGGCTCGCCCCCGTGGTGCTCGCCCCACTCGCTCACTCTTTTCTCCTTCCCTACTTTCGGCCAACTAACCGCCAATTCAAACCATATCTTCTGGTCTACCACACCCGTGTAGTTGACAGTCACTCTGTGAGCCTCTGCACACTGTTACTACACAGCAGCCATCGCCAGGGATACACCTATCACAAAGGTTTCATCCCAACAGGTTATCAGCTCTCGTTACATCACAACAAGGGGGAGTATCAGCAGCATGATCTGCGCAAGCGTCGCGTACAGCCCAAGACCGGCACAACGCATCGAGTTCCGAAGAAATCGCTGGCCAGCACTCCTTCTTCGGGGCACATGAGGACTTCCGTAGAGTTCGTCGACTTCATCCCCGACTTCGTCTGGGTTGTCCATTTCACGTTGTACGCGCATTGGAAGTTCTACACATTCATCAAGCTACCCTTAACGTATCCCGTCCATAGGGGGATCGTTATTCAGAGACATCGTAATTTCTCCGCATTTTTTCGCGGATTTTTCGAGAAGGAAAGACCTGCGTTCGACGGGACATCAGGTAAACGGCACACAAACCGATAGTTCGGCAGGTTCTTCAGCAGCTTAGCCAGGATATGGGCACGTACACAAGAGACGCTCGCCACTACATCGGCATTCATCGTCGTCAGCACCACCATATGCAGCCATCGCCGAGAACAACATGATCATGATACACGCAAATTAGCGGTAAACAGACTTGCGGGAAAAATGGAAACATATCCAAAAATGAAAATTGACGTTTTTCTTCAGAACCATCGGGTGTATCACAGAACCAAAATTATCCTGCGAAACCCCTTCGCCCCAGCTGTGAGATGAGCTCATCAGAACCGCCATGCTCCACACCACGCCTTCTCACGGGCGCAAAAAGCGATTCGTGCTGGTTTCGACCTGATTTCTCGCGATGCTGGCTACCTCGGCGATGCCGAGGACATACAGCTTGAGCAACAGCTCATTCGAAAGCTGCTGTAAAGACCTACAGCACTGTCAACTTTTTTGGGGGGAGTTGCAAAGGCGTGGTTTGCTTTCTAATAACAAACGCCCATTCTCATTTTTGGATACGTTCCCATTTTTCCCGTAAGTCTGTTGGTACTCACTTCATCATCGTCGTCCGCAGAAAAATGGGCGCGGAGTAAAACGGGTAGACTTTGCCAGCGTCGTGTCAAAACATATACAGAATAGAAGAGGTACAAGCTCGCATTGCGCGGGCGTCAAGACGCCGAAAACAGGCGAACAAGATCGACCTCGAACCAGTCAACGCCAATGATATGGGGATGGAGTGTAGACGCATCGTAGAACGCGTTTTCGTTTGAAGTTGGCGTCTTGTTTGAGAGTAGATGTGACAGATTTGCGTAGAATATGGTAAGATGTTATCACGTACGGGGAAGAAAGGGCTTTTCCAACACGGAGATGTAGCATGGATCAAAGCATTTGTTGGATTTCAGCTTTTACAAGAGGACATCAACGCAGTAGTATTTTAGAAAGCTTACGAACGCATGTAGGATACCATGAGGATTGTCATTGGCTTTATTTCACATTGAAGAGGAGATATATTTTTACGATCTAAATGACAGTAGAAACAAGTCCTACAGATGTTGTTGTACTTCGGATTGGTTTGATATTCATGAAGAATAAAGCATGAGACATTAAGTGAAAGTTTTCTGAGGTACATCTGCAACTGTCGAAAGGTAAAAAAAATATAAAAATATAAAAGAAAATTCAATTACCTCGCGTAATGAGCTGCATGTCGGAATAAAAACACTGACGTGTTTGCGCAGGAAACAAAATTTGCTTATTAAGTCTATTGATGCTGGTTATATTAACAACAATATGAAGCATTTTCATTTTGGGCAGACAGAACTTCAGTTAACAACATTTTTGCGGACGGACGCGGATACGCATATCGGCAAGAGGCATCGAATGTTGAATGTGCTGCTGATGTGTTGTACAACTTACATACTTCAAGTGTATTGAGGCCAACGAGTATCAGATTACCCCCACATAACATTTCAACCAGCACAGCGTAGATATTGCGGGACATATAGGTGCGCCAGGTCCACATCTAACTCTGCCGAACTTCCCCCACAGTCTCACAATGATGATGCTGCAACCACGCAAGATGAGTGCAAACGTGACAAACGCAGGCCGAAAGCAGAGGCGCAGCAAGCAAAACCTGAACGATCGTGGGCAACCGCGTCCTGTGAGAACGCACAGGAGTAGTGGACCCTCAAGCCTTCACAGGTTTTTCTCGATCTGCATGTCCAACGGCGTGAGCCATGCGACCGTCAGCTCCCGGCTGTGTGATGACGGTCGTTATGCATGTGCATGAATGTGATGTGTGCATATGTGTGCCGCAGCAAGGTGCATGATCTCCGCTCTGCGGGTCTCTCAGCGAGCAGCTGAAATGCTTGAACCCACGCAACGATACAACCCGCTATCTAAATTATGTAAGTGCACATGACGCATATCTATACCCACGGTGTAGCGCAACCACGCCACTGCTGCTCATGCAGCACAACAACCAATATGAGACCATAATATACTTTAAGTTTCGTATTCCGTCACGTTTCTACGCTGCCGCATACGAAACGCCTCTGGGCGCCGTGCCGCCGGAACCCCAGCCTTTGATCGCCGTAACTCGGCACGACGCCGACCCTCGAGCCCGAAGCGGGCGTCTTGAGTCGCTTACATTCGGGGGCGTAGCGTCCAGCAGAAAGCGCAAGAAAAGATCAAATCACGTGCGGAACCGCGTGCGAAGTGCTGGGGGGCGAGGCTTAGCGCGTCGGAACGAAACTTGTCCTCGCCGTCGACTTGACAAAAGAAGGGAGTGGGCCGCTTGCTGCCGGGACCCCCGGCTTTGGGCGGCCACAGCCCGACCTCGTGGACCCTCGACCTCGGAGCGGGCGCGTTGAGACGTGTAGATTGGAAATATTCTAGTCCAGAAAAAAGCTGAAAAACAAAACGAATCTCAGGAGGAACTGTGCGCGATGCACCGAGGGGCGAGGTGTGGGAATGAATCTTTCCCCCGCCGTTGACTCGAAAAATGAACGAGAAGGGTCGCTTGGTGCGAGAGACGTTGGCTTCGGGCAGCCGTAGTCGGCAACCCACGGAGCGTCGACCCCGGACCGTGCGCATTGAGACGAATAGATTCCGCGGCGTCACGTCCAGCAAGAAACGAGAAAAATATTTATACCTCACGAAGGACACCGGCTCGAACGACCGGAGCGATATAATTCCCCGGCGTTCACTTCATAAATGAACGGCGGGCTTCGCGGACAGGACGCTGCGGCGAGCTTCGGGCGAGCTTCGGACGGCCGTGGCTCGCCGATCCCGAGGAGCCTGGAGCCCGAACCGGGCGCGTCGGGACGCGTAGATTCTGGGGGGTCGCCCCCGTCTTTTAGAAAGAAAAAACTCACAAACCTCGACCGCTGCCGCGGCTTGAACGATGAAAATCATGGGGGAACATCTCGGACCCATCAGGTATTACATATCATGGGTCTTCTCGCAGAGTCGTCGCCGGCCGTCGTTCTATTTGAAAAAAGACTGTATCGAAATATGAAAATGTACTTATTTGTCCGGTGTTGTGGGGGGTGCAGAAAGTGTCGTGAACCTTTTGGCGGTCTGATTATTAAGAGGGAGAAGGCACGAAGCAGCCTAGCCTACAGTAGCCAGTGCATCACACTAACGCAACCGGTAGTGGCCTCCCACCGTGTTGGGAGATGTTCACTGTCCTCTTCTTAATCTTCAACTTAAAGTGGCTGAACCATCGTGGGTGTGTACAACAATGGTGGTGAGGCTGTTATGTCATCCCACCAACTTCATCAGCAAGCAAGCCAGTCGGGGGTGGAGGAGGTTCCAGAATAGGTCTCGTGTCATGAGTTGCCCTCACCTCAGATCTAAATATCTCTCCCCGAGACGTTTTCAGGAGGCCGCCCACCACCTGGTGCGCGTGTAGTTGGGCTGGCGAAATGTGAAGTTTGGGGGGCATGAGGATTTTGACGTTATGTGGGCAAGAAATTTTCTGGTCACCTGGTTGATTGACGCGTGCGTGCATTCATGCACACTTCATCACGGACTAAAGACTCTACGAGGAAAAGGCTGCCCATACCTACAGCAGTACCCATCGGTTGGGACCCATCGACGACGACGGGTTACCCGGCAACAACCCAGCAAAATTAGGGCGTTGGCTAGCCTATCGTCCAGGTTTGTGACACAGATGGTAAAAGCCTTTCAAGCGGTAAGAGGCCATGTGCGAACTTCGTGCACCACACAAGCAAACACGATCCAGCGTGGGAGCCTTTACGTGCATGTTATTTTGGTCAGATTCATATGTTGTTGTTGTTGTTATTGTTGTTGTCTTCACATTGAAAACCGTTCAGATCTCTCTCTACTCAGAACCTTCATATGTCCGCACTGGTCTAACACTTGACGCGGTCGACTCCCGTGGTCACGGGCTAACTTACCCTAAAAAGGTACACTCAAATAGACTGGCACCGAGGATTCCGCAAGTCAATAGAAATCAATGACAGACAATTCTGGGGTCCTCCGCTCCCTCTGCGCGCTATGCGAGGTAACAACTGAGACTAGGAGTCACCATCACGGGCCAGAGAGAATGAGTACACCCCCTTGGTTCAATCTTGGTTCTTCACAACGCAAGCAGAGACTGTCGAGGAAAACTGTTACAACGTAGGCAGGCACAGTTTACCATAGGTGCGACTGCGGCAACTAGCCTTCCGTAGACATAATACAGAAAGAAGAGATGGTACTCAGCAGAGAACATGAGCACAGAGTTGTAGCGGAGATAATTTGGCAGGCGAGACTGTAGTTGTTTTATTGTTCCGAACCCCGAAATTCCGGTACTCGGGGCCATTACTCCGGAGACCCTCGGAACCTGCTGTGTTTTTGCTGCTTGTTTTTTGTTTTTGTTGTTGTTGAGATGAGACACAAGCGCGCCTTCGCCCCTTGTGCTCACTCTCATCTAGCACCCATCAAAGCCTGACCAGGGAGTCAGTTGATAAGAACATCTATCTGCATTTCTCTTTCCAAAGCTCGCTCGGGCCTACCGATCTCACAGCAGTGTAGACCAACCTCTGTGATAGAGCGGTGACAGCAGTGTAACCTCTGTGGTAGACTACAAAGTCTACGAGCTACAGCAGCACCGCCACCTCCACTGCTGCAAGACGCCACATTCTGTGAGAGACAAGACCATCTGGCACACAAAAGAAGAAAAGGAGAGTTCAGGGAAAAAAGAGAAGAGGAGAAAAAAAACAGAAAGGAAGCAGGAAGGAAAGAGAAAATGAAAGAAAAAAGAGCGAGGACAAAAAGGGACCAGGCCGAAAATAACAGGAAATAAGGGAAAGAAAACACGGCGGAGAGACCACTAACGAACAAGCAAACACGCAAACATGGTCACCAACCAGCGATACAAAGTAATAATACGTCATCACTAGTAGTGGGGGGTTGGTGCAACGGTACAGCGTTGGGGGAATTGACTGAAAAAATTCAATCTGGCACGTATCGGGCCACTCGGTCCGTCTCTTCTCGTTTGCTTTGATCCCTCGCCGTCTCGTCCGTCTCTCGCCCTCCTCCCGCCCCATTGGTAGTTGGCTTGTGGTCTCGTTTGAGCGCTCATCGTCGGCTGGCCTCTTCTTCCTTCTTGTGCCAGAAGGCCATGAACTCTCAGCTGCCTGCAGCACCGCCGCATGCCAGGGTACTCCCTCCACCTTCGCGGCTTCCGTCCACTGTAACTTCGGTGCCGTGTATTTCGGTACCGGGATTCCGAGACAACATGGATTATTTTTTTATCCGTGGTCGGCCCCGGAGGCCTTCAGGTCGTCGAGTATACACATACACTATACACTGCCAATTCAGTTCCTGTCCCCCCCTACATCGCTTTCCCCCCCCTGCCAGTTCGCCGAGTATCAGTTGTTTCGGGAGTCGACCGTCTGGCTGCCTTGTCAATGCTCCCGCCAACAGTAGGCGTCGTTGTCGGATCGTGGCTTCAACGCTCTGGCATCCGACCCTCTTCAGCGTCTGGGCGTAGGAAAGCTAGTGGTAGGTGTCTTTCTTGCGCTTTTACCCAAAAACTCGAAGAAGCAGTCGGTCGCGTACCCACCGCAGCGTCTGGTGGTGGCCGCTGAGTGGTAACCATGTCATGCAGCCGTACAGCAGTGCCTCCATCGCCTCCGCCTGGATAAGGCGGATCTTGAGTCGGAATGGCACTTTCGGTCTGTTGAAGAGCTCCCGGCCATATCGCCTGAGGCACGCCCACGCTCCTCTTCTCCTGAAAAAGTTGATCTCCCGGGTGAGGTCGCCATGTTCGTTGACGAAGCCACCGAGGTACCGGAACTCGGTCGTCTGGGCGTATTTCTGTCACGCGGCTTCGGTGGTCAGTGGTCAAGGCGGGGGGGACTGCGGTGTTGTAGTCGGCTTGTCGTTCGCGCGCATCAGGAGCGTCTCCGTCTTCTTCTCCGATATGGTCAGCCCGAACTCCCCGAACACCTCAACGATGATGGCCATCATTCTCGNTACCCACCGCAGCGTCTGGTGGTGGCCGCTGAGTGGTAACCATGTCATGCAGCCGTACAGCAGTGCCTCCATCGCCTCCGCCTGGATAAGGCGGATCTTGAGTCGGAATGGCACTTTCGGTCTGTTGAAGAGCTCCCGGCCATATCGCCTGAGGCACGCCCACGCTCCTCTTCTCCTGAAAAAGTTGATCTCCCGGGTGAGGTCGCCATGTTCGTTGACGAAGCCACCGAGGTACCGGAACTCGGTCGTCTGGGCGTATTTCTGTCACGCGGCTTCGGTGGTCAGTGGTCAAGGCGGGGGGGACTGCGGTGTTGTAGTCGGCTTGTCGTTCGCGCGCATCAGGAGCGTCTCCGTCTTCTTCTCCGATATGGTCAGCCCGAACTCCCCGAACACCTCAACGATGATGGCCATCATTCTCGCCAGTCCTTCTGCGGACCTCTATACGACGCCGGCACCATCGGCATACAGCATCCCCCATACTGCCCTCCGTACTCGGTCAAGGGGTGTCTCCTTCCCCCCCTCGCTTCCGACTTCCCAACATCATCCTCAAAGAATCGGATGACAACGACCTCGAAGAACTTCGGCGAAGAACATGTTGAACAGCAGTGGGGAAAGTACACATGTCGCACGCCCTGTGTCACGAAGAACCAGTCCGATAGTTCTCCGTCGTCCGTGCGTACCCGGGCCCGCATTCCATCGTGGAATCGGCGGATGACTTTGATCAGCTTCACGGGAATCCCGGCCCTGACCAGCACCTTCCATAGCATCTCTCGGTCCACCGAATCATACGCCTTCTTCAAGTCGACGAAGAACATGTAGAGCGGTATTTTCTTCCTCAGCCCCAGCGCCTGGAGGCGGCGCACGACGAACAGCATGTCGACGGTGGATCGCCCGGGTCGAAATCCGCACTGTTTCTCCGAGAGGATGTTGTTGGCTTCGCAGAAGGTGCTTAGACGGTTGGTGGTGATCTTGATGGGGACCTTGCCTACGTGAGATAGTAGCGAAATCCCCTTGTACTTGTTCCAGTTGGACCGGTCACCCTTCTTGTACAGCAACTTGATGGTTGCATCCTTCCGCTTTTGCGGAATATCTCCTCCGTTCCACACCTTTACGAGGATGGGATGGATGTGCCCCAAGACGAAGGGTTCGTCGTCATCGATCTTGAGCAACTCGGCAGGGAGCATTTCAACGCCGGGCGCCTTCCAGTTCTTGAAGCCTTTCGTTGCTCGTTCAACCTCCTCGAGTTCTGGCGCCTCTCCCAATCGTTTAGTGTCACGTGTCGCTGGCCGCTGCGTCACTCGTTCGATGATGTCTGGGTTCAGGGTAGGGGATTTGGTGTTGAGTAGGGTGCTGAAGAGCCTCGCCCACCGCTGGAGGATGTCGTCCATGTTCTGGAGCAACACGACGTTCTCATCTGCGACGAACTACTGTCCCCCGCTTGCTTCCCGCTGAGGCCCACCGATCTCTTTAGGTGTTGGTACAGTCCTCTCATGTCGAGTTCTTTGTAGATTGCTTCGAGGTCAGTCACATATCCGTCCAGGTGGGCATAAATATATGCCCGTTTCGACTGCTCTAGCCACTCCCTTACCCGCTGTATTAAGAACCCTCCACGTTGGTGAGTTCCAATTGCCCCTCATCGCTCGGCGCACATCCCGCCGTTTGGTAACGGCCTCTTCCAGCGCTGCTCTTGTCTCTGGGGTCTCACACCACTCCTGCGTGCGGCGTCTCCGAGGTTCCTCCCCCAGGGTCGTCCGTGCTTTTTCGAGAAGAGGATTGGTAAAGTCGGTCGCCAATTCCGCGGCGGTGGTTGTTCGCTCGTCCGGTCGTGTGTCGAGGTTGAGGAGGAACCGAAAAGTCACCGCACACCGTGCTACGTCGATGCAATTCCCCCCGGTTCAATGGGCTCCTATTTCGGTTTAGTCCGGACTGCACGGTTGTGGGCAAGCGTGCCTCCGAGGTTGACGGTGGCCACTACCATGTTGTGGTCTGAGGCTGCTTTGACAGGGCGACCGGCTGGGGGATGACAACCGCGTTAGACGCTCGGCGTGATGTGCCTGCCTCGTCAGGATAAATAGTCAAGGCGCTTGCAATCGGCTCCCGACACACCGTTGTTATATGTGTGCCATATTCCACCCTTGCGTGTCTCAAAGAACGTCTTCGTGAGAGCTAGCCTGCTTTCCGTTGCGATGTTCAACAGTAGCATGCCATTGTCGTTGACCTCATCACGCCCGTACATTCCTATTACCCTTCCGTCCCCTCCGTCCAACCTATCACCCGTCCGCGCATGGCGTCCATCAGGACGTGTACGTATTCTTTGGGTAGGATCTCGCGCACGAGACTGTCAAGTTTTACCCGGAACACGCACTTGCTGTCGGCGGTTGAACGAAGTTGACCGCTACACGATGGCCTGCCCAAACAAACCTCGTGGCCGTGAGGCGGTCGTCGATAAACTCCGTAGTGAACGTGGATGTCTGGCAAAGTTACTCTTTGACGGCTATCCCCACACCATGGACTCCATCAGTCTCCGTGTCACAGCAGAACACCCGGAAACCCGCTGCTGCAAATTCCGTTCGACCTGCCCTGCGTGTCTCCTGCATTCCTGCCACCGATACGTCTGGTCTCGCTGCGTCGTAGAAAGCTGTAGGCTCGCCGGTATCCATTGGCCCGTTCACAGCCAAAGTCCGCACATTTCAGGTTGCTACCCTAAGAAATTGACCCTGTTGTCTCTTTCGCGCGGCGCGCGCTGCTTTCTTAGCTAGACTACGCGCCGCCCGACCCCTCCTATTCGTCCATCTTCCCCTCTTCTTGTTTTTTTTTCTATTTTCTTGCGAACACTCGATCTAACGTGACAGTTACCCCTGTTCTTGCCATGTTTCCCATAGAGTTGTCTTCTTGTCCCGGAGCGGCGTGGCCCTCAAGCTCTGGACTCTCTCCATTCCTCTCTCTGGGGCATACCATCACAGCGTGCGGTCACCCCGCCAACCTCACGGTGCTCTCTGCTGCTGCATGGCCCCGGTGTCCAAGCCGGGGCGTTAGGATCCAGTCTCATGCTACAGATACCTGGCGGTTCACGAGCTACCCCGATCTCACGACAGCAGTAACTCCCAACGGCCAAACTCAGGATGCCCCTCTCGACAGTGCTAGGGACCGTGTATCCGGCTTTGCTGGGTGGTTTCTCGAGGTGTAGATCCACTTGCGAAACCTCGGCGTACCCCAGGGACGGAGGGGGCAGGTTGGGAAGGTGCTTGCCGGGATGAAACAAGATATCAATCAACCTCGTACGTGGCACCCTCAGCCAAAAAATCCTACACGCTGCTTCACGATACTGAACTCTGACCAACCAATCGTCGCCGATCTGGCAATCCCGTCCTCACGACCAAGGAGACACTGGTTGTACTCCGTTACGAGCCAGCGTGTTGGGTGTGCTCACAGCATTGACAGATTTTGCAGCCGAGGAACTTTCTGAGAAAATGGAGAGCGGCATTCGGGGGTTTCTGCAGAGTCGTGATAAATTGCGGGAATGGTAGTACCATCTTTGCCAAGTTTTGTTGTTTTTTGGGTATGTATGCGTGTCTTCAACGGGGTTGGTCACGTGCCCTCGGATAATTAATCTTCCTTTTTCCCGGCTATCACGCCCTGGGCTATCAAGCCCTGGGCAATCACGCCCTGGGCTATCATGCCCGTGTCCATCCTGCATATCCACCAGCTATCACGCTGCCAGGCTGTCAAGCCTTCAGCCTATCACACCATCACCAAGATATCACACCACCAGGGCCACCACATCAGAGCATTCACGTTCGAGTACATTGCAGATACAGGTTATTACACCCGCTAGTTTTTTTCTCTATTTTGTCGTTGCCGGCAAACTCGCCGCGCGGTTCTTATGTTGTTTCCGTCTACAGCTGCGCCGAGCGCACCAAGCCAAGTCATCATACACGCTAGCGTAGACCAAGAGAGTGGCTCTTGTGTCTGCGCGCACAAGACGGCTGATGGAAATGCACGAAGACCTCTGGGGGGACCAGAGACTAGTTCCTCTCCCCATGAGGAAGACGACGGGGTGAAAGGGCAAGATTCGTTGAACCTCCGCGATGTGGATGAGGGAGGAACGAGAGCAGCCGCGGATGGAGGGGAACAAGATCCAACTACTACCCTTGCCGACCTCCTCCGCCGGGTTGCAACCTTCGCCTCCCACACTCCGGGACATCACGTCCGTTCAGGCACGTCCCAACCTAAAGAGTTGAAGCTGAGAGAGGGAGTCGAAGTACATGAGTGGAATGATGCATCTTGAAGGATCGAAATGTGACACGCTTTCCGAATTTTCACAACTTCTTTCTCAGGGCCGATGGATGCAGAGGGTCTTGAAGAGACCATGAGAGGACCAGAGGTTCCTGTGGGGTTCGTTGCACGTCGATGAGACTTGGTTGCGGCAGAGGCATGGAGATGAACGTGTTCAAGAGACCATGAGAGTCTGGATACGCTTGATCACGAAATCAACGTTCAACCTATACTAGACCAGATACTAGCTTTAGAGAGTCCACAAGCTGGGTGGAGAGTGTGTCAGTTTTACTAACTAGAAGTAGGACGCATCAGAGAGAAATTCTGGACGACTTAGGGTTAGGCAGAAGAATAGTGAAGCTCTGGTCGACACCTGGGGGAGGGCGAATACTGTGTTGATCGACCCCAAGCCTAGTGCTGCTGGATTAGCACGGCTGACCCGGTTGACAAACGTGGAGAGATGGTTAAGGCGTTTCATTGGTTACCTTTCGTGCACACAGCCCACGGAAGAGAGTGAGCACCAGGATGCATTACGAACATCGAGGCACTCGTACAACAGCCGCAAGAAATTCCTCGTAGTAAAGACGCATTCGGAACTCGGACCACGCAACAGCGGAACGTGACAACTTGTCAAGGATATGATCGGAGATACCCCGAAGATCCAAGAACGAGTAACAGCCACTACTTGCGCGATTGCATCTAGATCAAAACCACACATGAGTATCACTTTAGTAGCCTTCGTAAGGATGGCATAATTCACCTCACGAACACCCTCCCTGATTCTGTACATCGTTACGAATGTTCTTAAAACCAAAGAGTCCAAGGTCTTAAACTGTAGTAGACTCAAAGAGAAAAGCAAAACCGAAGGGAAACCCAGCCACCGGATCAAAACCCTCCACCCCCACGGATCATCCTGCTGATTGAACTGTCAACACAATCAACACAGCAGTCACAACGTTGCAAATCCACGCGTCTACAACTGTCCGACATTTGTACTACCCCTTTTCAAGTAGTCCCCTCCCAGCAACAGGATCCCTACTGTATCAAGTTGCTGTCCGCACCGTAGCGCGCCCAAAGCCACAAGCACCAATGCCGAATCGCAGCGGAAAAACGTAAAACCTAACGCTATATCGCTCTATGACATGTTAATCCTTTTGTAACGGGAGTTACTGTGGCTCTTGCGGGAGGCACAAAAAGCTATTTACCACCAATAGTCCGAAATATGGAAATAGAAAGGGGAAGGAGGACGAAGAAGTCTGACTGGCCGCACACATACGTTGCGAGCAGCGCCCGCGGAGTTGCGCGCAGCCAGCACGAGCAAATAGGGCATGTGCCGTGGCCGGGGCCGGGGATAGAGTATCAGGTGCACCCACCATGGACTTAGGCTGCACGTATTCGCAACGGACACATCGCAATCACGCACAAACAAGAGAAAAAGGCTGGTTCGTAGCTACTGCATCAACACAGCACCCCGTGCACGATTGCTGTCTTCTATCTCTCTCTCTCGCTGGTATCACGAATGCCTCACCCCGAGCGATGGGCAATCTAACAGTGTCCTACCCGTTTGATCAGTGCCCTTCCGGTGCCTTTCAGTAGGCAACACAACAACATTAGAAACATGCAGGATGGGATGCGATCCGGCAAACGCGGCTGAACGCATGTTGCTGACGACACAAAATGCACATCAACAGCACATACATCATGCAACGTCTAGCACTGCCGTCAGGTCACAAACGAGCCTTTGCCGCCATTGAGGACGTAGGCCTATCCCTTGCAAGGGCGTAGGCACAAGCGCGCGGCGAAAGATTGCGCATGGCCCTTCTGCTAAGCACGCC